TTAAAACTACTAAAACAAGTTACAAAAAGAGACTTTTCCATTTGATTACATTTTGTATGATGGATTATGTAGAAAAAGTAGAATTGGGCTGAAAGATCTATTGCTTTATCACCTATTCAGGTTGTAAATCGTGTTTTTAAAAAGTAACTAAGTAATTAATTACTTTTGAAAATAAGTAATCAGTAAAGTAATGAGATTACTTTTTGGGGGAAGTAATTGGTAATTAGTTACTGATTACTTTTTTCAAGTAACTTGACCAAAAATACTTACCAATGAGTTGATGTCTTTCTGTTCAACAGCAGGAGTGCTGGTCCCGAGCCTCAAAGACAGAAAGAAGCAAGCAGAGGGAGAAAAAACAGAACATTTTTAGAAGCTGATTTGATCCTTAATGGCTGTGCAATCATAATAACTTACAACACAGAGGGTCAATGTAGACCCTATACAACCGAATTAGACTAACACATATAGTATTAAAAACACCATCTACTACTGTGTCTGAATGTGTAGTATTGGCACATTTTAGGCCTAAAGAGATATGTTTTGAAAAAAAGACCACCTAATTTAAATATAATCATTGCATGCTTGTTAAAAGTTAACTTATGACAGGGTTTATATGTAACATGTTTCTTATGATTCAACTGTGTAATTTAACTTAATTCTTTAGAAGGACGAGCTATATTACTTTATTCTCAGTTATAAAGCGAACCCAGATGTTAAGCATTTAACAGGCCATGTATCTGGATTATAGCTTTCACAACAAAACTTGTTTTTAAACACATGTTTTAACAAAACAAATACTATTGTTAATGTTATTATTTAAAATGTAATTCAACAGAAAAGTCGGTTAAATATAAAAGCAGTTTGCTTATGTTGTTAAATAAAGGCTAGATTTGACATTAGATATAGATGCCACAGATGTTCAAAAGCTGCCACAAAGCATTAAAAAAAATAGACGTCTCCGAAAACGTCGGAGCATTTTTGCAAATATGCAATGTCTTGATAAATCGAGCTTGAACTGATACTTGAACTTTACACAGCTACATTCTCGCCTGAAAATATCTTAAAAGTTTATTTTGTGACCAAGAAAATGTAATATTTAAAGGTTTTTTAGCCGCGCTCCTCCGCCATTGCCGCGCTTACAAGTACGCATAGGCTCCGACAACCGCAGCCAACAAATGCGATCCTCCTTTTCTCCAGATTACCCTTTCTGGGTCACCAAATAAACTTTTTTTTTTTCTTTTTTTTTTT